CTCATCCCCCACAACCCTCCAGCTGCAGTCTCCGTGAAGCTACCGCGTTTGAGGGTGGTAATGGGAGAGTGGGGAGCAGGCCTTAAATATTGCAGGAACCGGCTGCACCTGGGCACGGCACAGGCAGGCACAAGGTTAAATATTTAATGCCTCACATTTCATCCTAATCTTTTATTAATTGCGTTATTTACTTGCTGCATGCTGGCAGTGGCCAGGGCCGGGGCAAGGTGGTGGGAACCAGAGGCTCCCCCTCCTCTCCCTGCCCTGCACCATCCCAGGGCTGCCTGCTGCCACTGCCCCCTCCCCGCGGTGCCCTGGCCGGGACTGGGGACCTTCCCGTGGCAGTGGACAGGCTGGCAGGGCTCAGGGGCCCCCCAGCCCCAAACAGCGCCTGAACGAGCGGCCAGCTCCTGTCCAGCCCCAGCCTCTATGCTTTCCCCTTTGCCTTCCCCAGCCGTGGGCGTTCACCGGCAGATCCAGTGCCACAGGTGGGATGGCCAGTAGCCCAACACCTCAGCTCCAAAGCCCTTGAAAAACCTTCCTTTCATATATGCATGTATACATGTGTGTGTATATCATATCTGCACATATAAATATATGTATTTTAATCCAAATGTAAGGTTTTAGAGAATGTATTTTTGGTTTGTTGCCTTACTGGGGGAGTTGTGGTTGTTTGTTTTTTTTTATTTAAGGCAAGTGTTTTTTTCAAAAGCTGGAAATGTTTCAGATCGTGTTTCAAGGGAAGGCGAGACTGAGAAGATGTTTTGCAGCATTTTTTCAAAACTCCTTACCAAAAATTGCTAGTTTTCCTTAGGCAGTTTCTCTGCTCTCCTCTCTTGGAGAGCGACACAGGTAAACCCAGAACAGGCAGCTCTAGGATGATGGATGTCACACACGTCTTCATCACCCTCCATTAGTGATTGACGTGGGCCCTGGAGCAGGACAGCCTGTAACCCAGAGATTAATTTGCTTCAGCATGTGCTTGGACTGGGAAGAAAACAACCACAGTTAACCCTTTGCACCCACAGGCCTCTGGATGTACCAGGAAAGGGAGCTGGTCCCATTCCTCCCTCCGGGTGCCCAGGCACGAGGTGCAGGGCAGAGGACATGGCTCACAGCAGCCAGCAAAGCCAGTCTGAGACCCGGCTGCTTCCGCCTGCTGCAGGATGCTCAGCCAGGGGCCCAGCTGCTCCCCGTGGCAGCCACGCACTTGTGCCTGGTAGCAGCAGTGCTTGGAAGAGCCCCAAAGGACGAGGGCGTTTGAAATCCACGCCAGGATTGAGAGGCAAGTGCTGTAAACAGCCCTTCTGTTTATAACCAGTGGAGAAACCAAACAAGCCCAGGCTTTGGGGTACTCAGGAGCTCCATTTGAGCCCAGATCCAAGCAAAACAGATTGCTGCTGCTGGAATTACCCCAACGATTTTACCTTTCAGCTCCCTCCCTAAACACCAGCCTGGGGCACAGGAACACGCAGCCTCCAGCCCTTGCCAGGAAGGGTAGCACCGGCTGTGTCCCACGGGTTGTCATGTCCCTCCCCACACACCTCCTTTGTGCAGCCTCCTGTACCCAGCACATCTCCAGAGTGGATGGTCAAGGGCAGAGACCATCACATTTCTCAGAGATGCCTATGTGTGACCGGGGCTCGCCACTCTTGGGGCAGCTGAAGCCTGCACGCACAGAGTCTCTCCTCCAGCGCCTGATCTGAAACCCTCCTGGGTGCTGCTTCTCCTGCCTGCTCTGCTCAGCTCCATCCCTTCCAAATCCAGGCAGCAGGCAGGTCAGTGGGGAAGAGCCACATGCAACCATCTCACACCCAAGGAGGCTGCTCTGATAGTACAAAGCCACCACGTGTCCAACTTTGCAGGTGATTTGCTGGCCTGGCAGGAGACAGCCAGGGCTGGGAAGGGAGCAGGGGGCACGGCTGGGACCCAGCATGGCCTCAGTCTCCTCGTGACAGCCGGGGATGCCCCATTCTTTGCAGACTGGTTCCCTGCACCTGCCTCTTTGGGTCCACGCAGGTTCAGGGCCTGTTGACTTTAAGCACATGGGCAAGCTCAGCCTGGGGTGGGATTTTTTTGGCAGCCAGGCGACAGTGGGTTTGCATGCAGGGTTTCTGGGTCACTAGGGCTGTTATGGGGTGGTGGGGAGCAGAACTGAGGGCACCAGATTTAGAAGATTCAGATTTTTCCCTCCTGAGGCTCAATCAGCCGGTTTACCAGGTGTGTGGAAGCAGGGACCGAAGATGACCATGGTATTTCCAAACCATCCCATTTTCAGCTTCTCACTTGCATACTCGAATGAGGAACCTTGAACTCGGCAGAGCTGAGTTCCTGGCACCCTCAGACAACATGAATTTCCCTGGGCATTTATACCAGCAGCAGGCACAAACAGGGGCCTTATCCTGGCTGGAGTCTGTCCCGGAATGAACATGAGATGAGAAGGGAAACTGAGGGAAGGGACTGGCAGCAAGTCAGCAAGAGCTGGGCCAATGCTGTACTAGAAATCAAGGTTCTCCAGCACCCTGGGCCACGCTCCTGGGACCAAACCACAGGTCCCCATCCCTGGGCCCCAGTGCTGTCGCCTGCTCTTTAAAGCCACATGTTCCCAGAGCGTCTGCAAGGCAAACTGCACGCAAGAGCTGGGGGAACTGGGGGGGGTTCTCCTGCCATGCCCGGGCAGGAGCCCCCCTGCACGTTGCAGAGCCGGTGTGCTCCTGCCTGCAGCCCCTGCACTGCTGCCCTCCCACTGTGCCAGGATCACCTCGTGACCACGGGGCTGTGGACCCGGGGGGACGCCCGCAAAAGAGATGTGGGAGCCCTTAGAGCAACCCAACAGCTGACAGACTCTCATCTCTGGCGCTGCCTTCGATCTGTATGTTGGCTCCTGTTTGCACTTACCGGCTCTGAGTGGTTTTTAATTATTGATGCCTCTTTTAGCTTTTATCTCGTGCTCAGTGCAGCCAGGAAGGGCTTGGCGTTCCTGCATTAGCGATGAATTGGGAAGGAGGCCCTGCTCCACCACACTGCAAAGCATTCCTGGCTTGCAGGCTGTGCCATTGTTTCAAGCAAAGCTGCGCTGAAAAATGAGGAGGGTGGGAGCGGGAGGGGGATGTGGTGGAGGCGATTCCCACTGCTGCCACCGAGGCGACAGGGATCTGTCCTATGGGGAAAAAGCTGAAGGGGATGGACGGAGAGTCAAACAGGTGTGGAAACCTCCTTCACCTGCCCACCTCATCAAGGAGGAAAGATGCCATTTTATGACCCGTCCAGCGACAGGCAGGTGGAAGCGGGGGGGTGGGGAAGAGATGCGAGACATCAGAGTTTTGCCAAGCCCCCAGCACCTGCAAGTAGGAATCGATGTCAAACCTACGCTAAATGCTGTGCTGCTCTGTGGTCAGGGCACGGGGTGCTGATGGATGGGGTCCTGCCCTCTGGACTCAGCCAGCTCCCCATCTGCCACAGCCAAAGCCCTTTGGACAGCGGGACAGTGGCTGTCACTAGGTGCTCTCTATCCCCCTTTAATGAGCCAGGGCTTTGCCAAGTTTTTCCAAGGATGCTGGTGCCAGGAGAGCTGGTTCTCAGCCCGTCTGCCTGTGTCCCTCTCCCACTCTTGTATCACGAACTCTCATGCATAAAGAGAAGGGGTTTCTCTTCCAGGAGCCAGTCTTAAACCATCCCCAACCAGCAGAGCTTTGGAGGCCCCACGTCACTTGCTTCTCATGAGCATTGAGCCTCTTCTGCCAAGGCAGGAGAGGAGCCCATGGCTCTCATCATGAGAGAGGTTACAAGGCAGAGCAGCCTGTTTGGAAGGAGAGAAGCTGTTTCCTCAAGTCTGCAGCTACTGGGGGAGTCATGAGGGAGGTATTTTTAACCTTTTTTTGGATGATGGTATGGGTTAGATTTGCAGATTTTGGTATGCAGTTAGATTTGAGCCCAAATCTGGTACGGTGCCCTATGAAATGACTCCCTTCGGAGATCCAGAAGCAAATGCAGCAGTTGCAAACAGAGCCAGGCTGGAAGCATGGGGAAGTGCAGCACTGCTCATCTGTGGGATGGGATATCGGGGTGCCTCCCACCTCCCAGAGAAATGCCTTGGGTGCGAAGCCAGCATGCTTCAGGAATGGGTCATCAAGGGAAGCAGGACTGGAGCACGAGGTTCCACTCGGCATCTGCTGGGAGGTGCAGGGGATTTGGAGAGCGCAAAAGCTCTGTCTTTATACTTTACAGTGGGTTAGTCTCCCGCAGGGAGCAAGGAGATATCCACAGCCCAGTCAGGAGCAGCTCCCCGGCCCCAGCCTGCTGGCAGCTGAGGATGCTCAGCCAGCAGCCTCATGGTTTGTTCGACCCCTTGCCCACTGAACGGAGGCTGCTAATTAGCTCTAACAACAGGGACGTCTGTTCCTCTGAAATCGCCAGCCTGAAAACACCCCAGACCAATTTCTCCTAAATCCTCCTCCCTTGCACATCCATCAGGAATAACATCCACTTATGGTGCTCCCTACCCCCAGGCTGAGTTTGAACCAGTGACCTCGAGGTGAAAGCGCTTGAAAAGCTCCAGCCCTCCCCACAGCCAGCACGCTCCCAGCGGGGTTTTCAGCAGCACTTATAGAGCAGAGATGGTTTTAGCAACTGTCGCATCGCAGCAGCCCCGGCCCGAAGCTGTGTTGGCCTTTCACATCAGAAACCTGCTCGCTCAGCGTCAGCGAGGCCCTCAGAGCAGCTGCAAGACCATGGGGTCAGACTGCAGCTATCGGTAGAGTTTCAGCCAGCTCCTGACCGGGAGCCCCTGTGCAGTGCCGGCGGGGGGGGGGGCAGGCATTGGACCCATCCGCCCAGTGCTCCGGCCCCACCAAGGGCGCTGAGGTCAGGCCAGCCCCTGCCATGCAGCAGCAGCTCTGCTCTCACCACGGGCTGTGCTCTGGATCTGCCCCACCATGGCCAAGCAGCCGGCGGTGATGGCTGCTTCCCAGAGCACAGTCAACGGCTGCATCAGGAGCATTGGGCCCTGCACAGGGTGCCCAGTTTGGAGGGCGACAGGGCTGAGACCCCCAGGCAGCCCTGCAGAGTCTCAGCCAGCAGCCGGAGTCCAAAGACGACCACCACTGGAGCCATGCTCCTCCGCGGACCCCCGGTCCCTTGCAAGCCTGTGCCGGGAGCCCTGCCCCAGCCATCCCCCGGATCATGCTGGCGAGGTGTCACAGGCAGATAACGGCAGCATTGTCAGGCCCTTGCGCTGCCCACAGGCTCTGTAACCCATCCAAAGCCACTGCACGGTTGTGCCAGGCCTGACCGGCACTCCTGGGACAGTGGGACATGGGACCGAGCCACACACCAGTCCCTCCATTCCCTCTTTGCAGCAGGCTGGTCTGCACCTGAAGAAACCCATCAGAAGCAGCACCAGGGAAGGGGCTGAGCAGAGCCACAGCCCCGGCAGGCATTCATGCGGCACCATGCACATTTCCTCAAGCCTCTCCCACCTTGGACCCCCTGCAGCAGACACAGCCCCAGCCCGAAGTGCCACCACTCTGGAGGCAGACCTGGTCCCAGACCTAAGCCGGTTCAGCAAACCCCATCACATCTCACCCTCAGGCATTCAGCCTCATCTTTGCCCAGTGCCAGCAGGACAGAGGCACAGTGGCCACTGCTCCCCTTCTGGCCTTCACCAGGGCCCCCATCTGCACCACCACAGTCCTTGGACCTCAGTGGGCAGCCAGGGGCACTGAGACACAGCCCCCCCAACACTGCTTCCTTCGCAGGGGAAGGAAATTTTCCCACTCCAGCTGGCCTGGGAGATACAGAGGGAAAGATGTTATCAGGGCAGAGCAGGCTCTGAAGCCAGAGGACAGCTCTAATTATTGAGAGCCAATTCCATTACAGCAATCTCAGCCCCAGGGCAACACAGGCCAGATTTTCCAGAGGGGCTGAGTGCCACAGAAGTAGCTTATCCTCTGCACCCACAGGAAAAATGAATTATGCACGCGCAGAGCAGATCTGCGGCAGCCCACAGGGACCATTCCAATGCGATACCAAACCACGCCGCTCCTGCTGCAGCAGAAAGCCAATAGCCCTTGGTGGCACTTCCCTCTAAACCTCCCTGCTTTTTATCTGGAGAGCTCCCAGATCCCGTTTGCCACCACCCGCTCTCCAGTTTATTTTGGCTTTGCCTGGGGATCCTCCTTGCCCTGGCTCCAGCAGACTCCAGCCAAAGCTCCAGCGTAGGCACAATGCTCTGCCAGGATGCCTGTGGGAGGGATGGCATCCCAGAGCAGGATGCGGGCAACGAGGACCATCCTCATTCTGCCAGCAGCTGTGGAGACAAGAGCAGGAGAGAAGCCAGAACCAGAGGTGCCAATGTTAACCCCACTCCTCCTGGCTCACAGAGAAACCTCCAGAGAGAGGGGAAGAAGGCCCCCCCCACAGGAAAGGCACCACATCACACCAGGTAAGGCAGGGACTAGTCTGGGACACGCTCACCTGGAGGAGGGAGGGCAGCTCTTCCAGACACCTCCCACAGCCTGCTGGGAGCTGTGACAGCACTTGGGGAAACTGAGACAAGGTCCAACATTAGCCAGCAAAGCTACCTGTTCTCCCCCACCAATTCCCCTATCGCAGGGGTGGGGGGCAGGAGGGGGGGGGAAAGTATTTTAAAGTCATCCCAAAGGCGGCAAGAAAGCAGGCAGCAAGTCACGGTTTTAACCAACCTTCTTATTTCTTTATTTGAAAGGCACAGCTTGTACGTCCTTGATACAGCATTTTCAGTTCCTCTTATTATAGGTCAAGTGATTAAACACAAAAAGCAAAACAAGATCTTTCTAAAGGACTATATACAAACACCAGATTATTATTTAATTTTATTCTTTTTTTGTTCCATTTTTGTTTTTTTAGAAGACACGCTAGCGCACGGAGATAAGAACAGAGAAAGCTGCTGTATCCTCTACACGGGGGCAGGGGCGCAAGGGCGCAGGAAGGGGGAGGACCAGGAAAGGCTCTCAGTCTGCCTGCCCCTCTGCCCAGCTGCCCGAGCCCCCCAAAGATGGGTGCTATACCGAAGGGGAGCAGGTGGCAGAGGCTCCCCCTCCAGCCCAAGGCCAAGGAGCAGCCAAGGAGAAACCCCAGCAGCCGGAGCGTGTCGTACTGCCGCGGTGCCGTGGGACTGGTTAAGAACAGATACATGCAGAACAGCAAGGTGCCGGCCTGGTATTAGTGCAGGAGGGGCGCGGGGGGGGCAGGGCCAGGGCGATGCAACGAGATCAAGAGCGCTTGGGGAGGGACGAGATGGTTTCGGGGCAGGGATCCCAGCAGGGAGTTGTGCAGAAACCGTTAGGATCAAGGGGCATCTTTAAATACCAAGGGGGGAGCAGTGGGCAGAGGGGAGTCACGTGGCACCGAGGAGCTGGGACAGCCGGGGGGGCACGCAGCCCCAGAGCAGCCCAAGCGAGGCTCTGGCTCGGCTCTGTGACAGAGCAGGACCGGGGACGGGGAAGCCAGGCTGGGCACAGGGAGAGCACGATCGGCCACACGGTTACTGCTATGGCGCTTGCATTGCTGCGGAGCAGCCCATCCGCTGGGATGGTAGTAGGGGCATCCCCCAGGCACTGCTGCCCATGGGAAGAGGCCTGGCAAGCTGCCACCAAACACAAGCCCCCGCGATTCTGCTGCGCAGCAACTAGAGAGATACTGCATCTTGCATTAACCCGCCCCCCCCCACCCCCCAAACA